CAGCTAAATAAAAGCTTGGCTATGCCCACTGTGTGCTACTTTTTGATAGCAATTAGCCGGGAAACAAAGTGGAGCACTTAAAAGCCACATATTTTTCTTGAGAGTTGATGGCGACCAAAAACAGAGCAAAAAGATGATTGAATATTAGATTCATCGCCATAAACCTGACCGTTAACAACACTGGCATTTGATGAGCACAGACCTCAGCCAATGGGGCACTCACTTGGTCCTTGGATGGTCTTTTTTTCCTTAGTTGTGAAGTTACTCTTCTGACTTTCCCGCTTTAAGTTGTAATGCGAAAACAACATGAATGCTGCAAAGTAAATAGTTTGATAGCTGTTTCTAGTATGTTATTTCCAATCATTTTTACACCACATGAATTCTGAATAAAAGCCCTGTCGCGAAATGTAAACTAAATTAAAAAATAACTCTTCCCTTTGGTTGGATCCACTCAAAGATGATGGGTTCTTCCTTAGACCATGCTATGAATAAACACACCAAAGAACTATTATCAGTTGAGTAAGAAAAAGGCATTAGATTATTTAAATTTGTTTCCTAATGGGGTTTGACTGTGGATTTAGCCGGATGACTGCACGCTTTACAGTTAAGGTACACACAGAATAAACCTGTGAACTCGCTAAATGCTAAACCCCCCCCCCCCCGCCGTCCAGACTGTGTTGTCTGTCTGTGTGACCTGCTCTATTGCCTACACTCCCCTACCTTGTTCCTTTTCCTCCACGTCTGTTTACACCGTCTCGTGTCAACACTGCCTGAGCGCCATGGCAACACACACACCACTACGAGAAATCAGCTTCCACCAGGCTTTTACAACTGCTAGAGAAAGAGGTTGAAGCTCTTGAACAGTCAGAGAGAAATATGCCTTTGATGTGGGGAGCGAACTAGTGTTTTATGTTACCGCAGTGTTAACAATACAAAATAGTGCCTATTCATGGTAAAATATACAGTTTTACAACCCAGTGTGAAGGAGGTCATACTATCACCTACACGATAAACCTTTTAGGTTGAGTTTTCAAGGTATAAACTCCAAATGCAGACACTAAAGAGAGCTTTGTATGAGGCTCTGAAGAAAAAATATCTTCTTGGTCTTGGCAACCAGATTTGTAATTATAGAATCAACATCTGGTTGACTTTTTACGATGTGACAGAGTGTATATGGTCATGCTGACGTAAAACCTGGTAAGGGTATACCTACCTGTGGGTGTAAAGGCACTAGAAAAAGATGACGACCAAAAGACCGGCCAGCTAACCAATTGATTTCAGACAGAGGGTGAAAAGAGGTGCTGCAGCAAAGGCAGTAAGAGAAGAATAAATACCTTTTTGACATTAAATCATTTAAACAAGTCCCAGTAGAGGCACAACATGCTATTATGAACCTGAAAATGAGCATAATAGGGCCCCTTTAAGAACAAGTTGTAATACTGTATGCACTGAATGAATGAGGTGCAATTTCTCTTTTGACTTCCCTATAGCATCAAAAAACGATTTTAGGAGGCAGGACTTCTGCGTGGAGGTAGATCAAAGCCTGTCTCTCCTCATTCCTGACAGGGGGTAACAGAACAGAGACCAGACAGTCACACAGAGGTGCACACACACAAACACACAAGACAAATGTGTCTGCCTTCACGTGCAGACAGACACGCACACAGACGGGCGCTGGCTTTGAGATCAAACGAAGGTGGGTAAGATCGATCCATCCTACCTGTCCGTCTGTGAAATCTCTGTATAGAAGAGAGCGTGCAAGCTAGCACCATGCCACTCCCTGTCTGCTAGCCCCCCCTCCTCCTCTTCCTCTTTCTCCTCACTTCAAAAAAACGATTGAGTCGTGTGTCCCTCATTCTGATTTAATGAAATAAGATCTTATTTTTAAGACTAAGACATTTTCGTGAACATGCGGCAAATCTTTATAGAAAGGGTACACAAAATATAAGTCTTTGGCAACATCAAAAACTATTTTCCTTCTCAGCACAATGAACCAACAGAGACACATAACATGCTGAATAATTGAAACTGTTTGGATTGGTTTTACAATCCTATTGAACCGAATACTCCCAGGTAGCATATCAGTTTTACACGAGAGGGAAACACTGGTGTTATTGGATGTTTTGCTAATACATTATTTCTCTGCTGCTTCGGGCCCAGGCGCAGCTTGACCGCGGCGTTGTGAAAAGATTTACCTCATGATGTAAATAATTCAGCTTCACATTATATTTCCCTGTTTGCTCCCATCTAAAGTCAATTGAAAATCGGAGAAAGAAATTGAAAAACATGCTCAGTCAATTCAGCGCTGCTTGATCCAGTAATGGAAAATGAAAATGAGGATCTAGTATAGTTACAGGGGAAAAGTGACCAACAGAATATCATTTCTTCATTACAGCTCCTTACTTACCAATTGAGACTGAATGCTAATGTTGCTACGTGCCAATTGGATGTGAATCGTTAGGGAACACATTCACCGTATCCACTTGTACGCTAATATATATCAAAGTAATGTTTACAGGCTGTTAAAAAAAGAGATCACTGCGTTTTTTCACATATTGTTTTAACATTTTACTTCATTGGCACTTTATAGAAGCAGTTACAAAATAATCTGTCCATTGCACAAACATACAATGAATGGACAGACTGTATTTTCTAGCTTTTTTAGGAACGATATGAAACAGACATGACATGCTTGGAATTGCAATTCATCTGCAGAAACAAAAGTGCATATGGGTTTCCATGGGTACCCTCAGATGCACACTAAACAGGACAGCAAAATGCCTCTCCGATGAAATCAAGTATTTGGGTTCATCTGAGTTTCAGGGGTCACACCGACTGCAAGTCATTGGTTAAAACTCTCTCACACACAACACACATTTCCCCTCCTTAACCTGAGGCGGGCGGCTACAGATACACATGCAGCCCCAGATGTGCCTCTGCTCCCCATCAAATGCTTTCATTTCCCGCCAAAAACTGTATTTTATAAAGCATCTTGGAGCGGAGTGCTGTAGTCGGGTTCATTTACGACAGTCCCTGCAACTCCTTTCGCAGTGCAAAGGAAAGTTCCCAGCTCTGCTCTGTGGAGTTTCCAATTTGTCTGGCTTAATCGTTGGCGGTTGAGCGTCCAGCTGGGTGAAAGAAAGGCAGACACAACCGCATCAGAGAGGCAGGGCAACAAGTTTAAGGCGTGCCTGACATCAGAGGCGGTGCAGGCCACTGACAGCTGAACAAAAGCACATGGTGCCACATCTGGCTTCTGGTTTTGCATGCAGTTTCCCTCAGCGTACCTCAGCACTATGATTATCTCGGTCCCACCGCCTTACAATGGAACAAAGAGGATTGTTGTCTAAGAAAAGGCTTGGGAAACAGCAGCGCTGAGAGAGGATGAGGAGTGGAATCAGAGCCGCAATTTGGTGCCTGGCAGCAGAGGGCAGGGTGTCCTGCTCTGCTATAATTAAAAGCCTCTCTATAAGTGGAGGATATTATGCTGCTATCAGCTCAGTGTCATCTTCTTCCTCTACACACTGCTGGGTTTCTTCTATAACCCTGTCTCTGTCCTCATACTCACCCCACTGCAGCTGGATAATGTGCTCCACAGCTGAGATTTACTGGCAGGAGAAAAAACACCACAAAGTCAAGAGCAAACAACAGGGTGCCCCTCTGACCACAGAGTATTTGTGCACATGCTGCTGCAATGTGTGTAAACACACGCATGTGACACACAAACACCATCCACTCGGTGCACGTCTTATGGAGTCGGACCAGGGATTCACCACACCACACGAAAGGGCAGCATGTGGAGTAAACAATATACGCTAACTTCAACAGCAGGCAAGCCCAGTGGTTAGGAGAGCTCTCAGAGAAGGTCACAAGTTCAAATACAACATTTCTTAAGTTTAAGCCTGACTGAGATCCAACAGAAGCTGATTCCAACCTAAAGTGTCTGTTATTATTTTCTAAGTGTTGAGACCATTTGGGTTACTTATACTCAAATAAAAGGGTTAGGGTTCAAATGGATATGCCTGGTCCCATAAATCTGTTACTCCAGAAGCCCAAAATGTTCTTTGGATCTACCAAGTTATATATAATTATATTCCCATAACCCATTCACAATGACTTACAAGAAGTCAGCGGTTGACATAGTGCACCTAAGTGATGAAAGGCAAAGAAGCGTTAACAATAATAGAAGCTGCTCGTTTCTGCTTACTTTTCAGTCTTAAATATGTTTCTACTGTATGGTTCCATGCAAAATGTCGACAAAAGAAAATCCATTTTAGCGACTCCATATTGTATATTCCTGCCAAAACATGTAGGAGGAGAAAGGAGAAATGTAATGTAACTTATTGGACATGAATTATCATCAACCCTGTGTTTTAGAAAGGAATTACACTGCACATCTGGGAAAGAGCCTTTTCCCATAACACCAAGAGGTGAAAATTGGAGGGGGATGCTGGGGAGGGGGGGGGGGTTTATGATTGCGTCTCTGCTGCTTCACTACCAGCTCAGACAGGTCTCGACTGGCTGCTTCTCCTTGGCAGTGGAGTCCAAACAGCTGACATCATCCAACAGGAAGCCTTATTGCAAGGTGAGACCTGGGTTACCAAAATATGCTTTGATCCTAACGGGGCCACAGGAAGGCCCCTCCAAAAAAAGCTTCCTAACATCTGAGTGGTGAAGGTGAAGCACACTTTCAAGTAGGGGATTGAATGGTTTTCTATAAATCAAGGCAAAATGGAAAAAACTGTGGATTAATGTATGAGAATACCCTGAAATTGAGGATATAGAACATGAAGAGAAGATATAGGCTACAATATGATTCCCTATGGAAAACACCAATATGATCATGAATCAAAACGGCTTAGATGTGAGGAAATGAGATAAGAGAAAGTATCTATCTCACCCTTTCTAGATTAAGACCTCCACTTTATACCGCGAGTGTCCATATTCCATGTGACTAGGCTGCCACCTTGTGGTCAAATTTGATCACTGCAGCAATCTAACTTTAACCTAATTTAGGACCCGGCTTCTCAAGAATAAGAACTGATAATAATTGTACAAGAAAACACACAGATGTGGACATGGATTTTAAATTCAACAGAATTCACCTTTATTGAAACACCTTTGATTTAAAACCAAACAACAAATAAAGAAAGTGGAAAAGCAACAATGACCAGCATACTGAGAGCGTAACATGTCTTTTTTTTGTTTGTCCTTTAATCCATGCTCCAAACACTGTCCAGTGGCCAGCTTTTGTTGGTTCTAAGTGCAGCTGGTGCATTAGTGCATGTAGTCGACGATTAAAAAATGGGCGGCGTCAGGTGTGCAGAAAATCCAACCGTTCTTTCAATTTGGATCCCTTTTAGTTTTTACATCAAAGCTCCCCGTGTGCGCTTGTGGTCGTCTCGGATGTTTCCGACTCCTCTTTTTCTGATAAGAATGTAATAAATAATACGTTGAATATATTGCCTTTTCAAATTGACAATCATAGTTTAACTTTACAGTGATGAGGACAGCCACATTTCTTTAAAAACATAATTCTGACGACACATTTCTATTTTCAAAATCATACTTTTTACTGTGAGTTTGAAAACCCACAGTGATCCTCACCTGGCTCTATCTTCTGGACACACTCGTCATCTCGCTCCTCATAGCCTTCGGAGCAGAAGCACACGTAGCTTCCTTTATTGTTGACACACTCCTCGTTGTCCCTGGTGCAGACCGGCTCAGGCTGGGAACACTCGTCGATATCTGGAAAACAAAATATTTCAATTTTCTTTTGCCAAAACACAAGATTTACTAACAAGGGATTATAGCAATTTATACTACATCTGTTTAAGAAAATACTGCACACATTTTTCTAGAATTGATCTACAACATAAACAAGTGAAACACTGATTTATTTACATTTATTTCCACGCATCAGAAATGGTTTTGGAATGAAGCTGCAATTATCTCGCAATATTTCATGATGTCATCATTCTAAAGAAATTGGGGAAAATTGTTGTTGTTTTGTTATTGGGGTTATATAAATGTGATTATCGAGCTGTTAGTATTTAAGTATATAATTTGGTGTAATTGCCAAGGCTTAATCCCAACCAATAGCTATTGAATCAGAATGTTGTATGAAATATAAAAATGAGAATTTTGGAAATAATTACATCTCTATTTTCAATACATTTCAATTTTAAAATGCTCTGAATTCTATGGAAAAGTTTGGTCGGAAAACAATCTGACCACTGAAATGTTATTCTACAAAGATTATATTACTAATAATAGTGTAGTCTTATCTTTACCTGCGACTGTGCAAAGATATTGGGTTCAAACTGAATAGAAAAAAAGCTGTGCTGCTTTTGAATGTTTATTTGCATGTCAACGTTATGAATTAAAGCCCAAACTATCAGGTACTTGATCTCCTTTGTACCTGTGCAGGTGCCCTCTGTGTGTTGGTACCCGCTGGCACACGCCTGGCAGCTATCAGGACCGGGCCCTGTGCATCCGGAGCACACTTTGTCACACGCTGCAAAGGACAAAGTGAAACATTACACAAGCAACACTTACATTTTATAAACTATAATAGCAAATGTATGCGTAATATGATTTATTATGCAGTAGCTATTGATGCGTCTAAATATTGCGGACTGTATTTTGTGCAAAACTGTGAGTGAGTGATTACCCTTGCAGGAGTAGGAGCCGTCCGTGTTAAGGCAGTATTGATCTTCCTCACACGGAGAAGGATCTTTGGAGCACTCGTTTACATCTGGGACAAATAGAGAAATTGACTGATTTCCAAAGTATGAGCTTGTCTTAATCCTAAAGCTTGGGAAATTAGGAAATCTACCAGGAAAAATACACACCAATAATATGAGAATGTCAAGTCTGAAGACATACAGAACATACTATTCATGGTTTCTTATAATTGTATGCATTTGGTTACACATCTTTGTTCGTGTAAACTGCCTTCTATGTCGGTTTGAGCTTGAAGATACTGCACTGACACCAGATCCCCAATCTGAGTTTTTTTTTTATTTTGGAGATAACTTAATCCTAAATATTGAAATATTTTTGTACAATTTAGTTGTACATAGAAAAACATTATGATGGTCAATCTAAGAATGTATTAGCAGTCAGGTAAAAGTAATGTAAAAGAAAGACAAAAAAAATGCAAAGAAAATCTAGACGAGGTTGCAGCCGTAACCGTAGTAACAAGGAAACAAATCTGCAAAAAGTACACATATCTCATCTATGTTTGACTCAGAACAGAAAGCATGTTTCCTGAAGACTACATGGAGGCTTGTTATTGGTCCTCTTACCAACACACGCTTCCTGGTCATCGTCCTCCCAGCCTTCTTTGCACTCTTCACAGTCCTGATTGGTTGCACCAGTGCAGGTTTTGCAGGACGAGTCGCATTCTGCAGGAAGAGTTGAAGCCCAAATTCACACTCATGACACACGCACTCTATATAATGATGCATGTTATGTTCTGTCTCGTGGCTTTTGGAGTGTACCTGTGCACAGAGAGAATGTGTCGTTCCTCACTTCGTTGAAGTACCCGTCGATGCAGTCCAGGCAGAACTCTCCTCTGTAAGAGTGGTCACAGCTGCATTTCCCGTCCCCCCCGCGAGTCCCGTCGCCATCACACTTCCCATTCCCATGACAAGGTCTCTCAGAGCCCCCCACACAAGCTTCAAAGATAAAATCCCCAAAAGACGGCACAAACAGAAATAGTTCACCACTTTTAGCTTCAGGTTTTCGGTGTTATTTGTTCAGTACATCATGTTGTATCTACAGTCTCCTAACGTTTTCCTTACCACTGCAGTCCGGTCCAAACATTCCCTTTGGACAGCACACTTTTATCGTGTCGATGCAGAACCATTTATGCAGATCAGGATGTTTTGTTTTCCTGTGATGCAACAGGAAGAGATGAGGTTTCACACAAGTCAAACATACACAAAATGTGTGTGTGAAACATCTGTCAGTGTGTTATCGTAATGTCTGTCTGTTATTTTACACAACATGGGTTACATCCTAGTGTGGTGAAATTGACAGTTGAAATCCAACCTGTGTGCCTGACCGTGTTGTCAACAATCTGACTGTATACGCAACACACCTCTTGAACCACCAAGTTTCAAAGAGGTCTTCGTGCTCTTCTACCATGTGGTTGCATTCGAAGCTGCTGCTGTCACACAGCCCCTCCACGATCTCCATGAGACGGATCTCACTGCAAAGGAAAATGGTATATAACATAAACTGTGTGATAAGAAGAAATGAGTGTAGCCAAATGCAGTAGTTTGAAAGTATGCCTATGTTACCTGTCACTTGGGCACAAGGTAATAATAATAATAGATTTATTTTGTTAGCGCTTTTACAGGTGCTCAAAGACGCTTTACAGATATAGTGAAAAGAAAAGAAAAGAACAACAGATAAATATATATAGTTAAAGTCAAATAAAAATCAAGCAATACAAAAACAATCACACATTAAAAGCCAGATTGAAGAGGTGAGTTTTTGTAAGTTTTGTAAGTCTCTGATGGGTTGATCGGAAACCGGATTGAAATGGTTCAAAGAGGTCATTGGAGCTGAGGTGGGATTTAAGTTGTGAGGCAACGACACGTTCAAGTATTTTTGACAGAAAGGGGAGATTTGAGATGGGCCGGAAGTTGGACATGATGTCAGGTGTGAGTCCAGGTCTTTAGAGAATGGGTGTGATAGCAGCCAGTTTGAGAGAGGGGGGAACTGATCCAGATCTGAGGGAGGAGTTAATTAATGATGGTGGCGATGAGTTGGGAGATGGCAGGGAGGCTCTCTTTAACACATGTGGAGGGCATTTGGTCAAGTGTGCAGGAAGGGAAGTTGATGAGGGTGTCAGATTGCTGTAAATGTAACGAGAGGAAGGAGTTGCACTGTTTGGTGGTGAAGGATGAGGTGGCGTTGTCACAGGGTTTGAGAAGTTTGCTGATGGTGGAGCACAGACGCTTGGGGTTGTTGGAGCCAGACTGAATGAGTTGTGAGCAGCAATTAGACCGGGCTGCTTTGAGTGCGTTACTGTGCTGCTGGAGGTAGTACATATTGTTCTAGGACATGGATAAGGTTAGTATAAGAGATCTGTTAAGTAAATAAGCACCGCTCCAATGACCGGTTACTAGGGCAGGGTGACCTGAACAGGACATAACCTCACCTTGTCTCATATCTAGACAGTGTCCTCTCCTCCCAAGCTGTGTTGCCCCCACCAAAGTTCTGTTTTGCAGTTCTTTCAAAGCCCTAAAATACAAAAAATAATGTCATTGTTTGTAGAAAGAAACAGGGGAATTCTGGGAACAACATGTTTCATGCATCTGGCACCACAACACAAAGCAGGGGTTTGGTGTCGTGCTCTTACCTTGTTGAAGTTATCTGTTATTATCCGACAGGTAGAACAGAAGCTTTTTAAATCTTTCTTGCTGTCGGTGACTTGGAAAAGTAAAACAAGAGTTACACAAGACAAAAGCCGCAGTAGACGCAGCTGTGGACCGGTGGACAGCATCTCAGCCGATCAATTCATATCAAGGCACACGTTTAAGCAAGCTTGTAGCTAATATTAAAGCGCTGCACGGTTCGGGCACATCTAAATGGACCGTTCCTAACATCAAATGTAAGTTGGCGTTATCTATGCAAAGCACAACAAAGTGTTATTTACATGCCGGTTGTAGAAAAAAACCGTTGCGTTTTTAGATTTCCGCGTCTGCCTCTTAGTCGAATTGTGGCTTGCGCCGATTCGCTAGGTCTATGTGTCAATAGAATGCACAACCAATCACAAGCCGCCACGCGCGGGACATAAAGCTCCCCACGTGTAAAATTCGGGAACATTTGTAGTATCCTTTAAGATTATTAGCTTTTCTTTATTGGTTGTCTTTTAAGATACATTTTATAAACAAAAATGTTGTAAAAATACTATAAAAAAATGTTTAAAAAATGTTTGCGATATTGTGTAGTTTGCTTCCTGTGTTGACCGGAAGTGATGAAAAGCTGTTCAGCTGTCATGGCTGAAAAAAGGAATGTTTTAGGGCTACCTCTGCTGTTTTTATTAATAACTGTCACTCTTTTGCATTTATTCCTTTGTCCGTTCACTAAAGTTGAGGAGAGCTTTAATTTACAAGCGGCGCACGACATTCTGTATCACAGACTTAACTTTGAGAAGGTAAGCAGCTGTTATAAATGCTGGTATTAGGTGTGCTAACAAGCTAACTCTGCAAAGCATCATTGAATGAAATCATTGTTATTATAGTGTCAAACGTTGTGAATACGTAACACAAAACACACCGACAAAACAGTTTAGTATGTATTTTAGAGGTTCACATTTTTACATAAAGTATGAATGTTAGATACATTCCATAAAATACCCCAAAATAATAATAGATAATAGATTTTTGATAAATGCACATTTAATGCAATACAAAGCCATGATATAAATAACTATTACTAATACAACTAAAATGGCACTGTACTACTTTAAAATAGCCATGCCAATATAAACAAAAAATAAGCTCCATTTCATATTGCAAACAAACATTTGTGTTGATACAAATAACATAAGTGTTCTAAAAAAAAAGAAGGTATTTATCATAATTATCTACGTAAGATAAATGTATTAGCTGTTGTTGAGCTTTCAATCATGATGCTCTTAATCAGAAGATAAAATGGCGTTACCAAAAAAAAGACATTTTAACATCTAGAGTAGCTAAAAAAAAAAACATCTCTTCTGATAGAAAATGTGATATATTTTTTGCCAAAGTTCTGACTGTATAAGTGTTGTTGAGAGCAGAGCCTGTGCTGTGTTTCAGTATGACCATCTTGAGTTTCCCGGCGTGGTTCCTCGGACGTTCCTTGGCCCCCTGTTTCTCTCCGTGCTCTGTTCCCCTGCTGTCTTCCTCTCCTCTCTGCTGGATGCACCCAAATTCTACACCCAGCTGATGGGTAAACAGAAAAAAATTCCCTGATTGGTCCCTTCCCATCCGCTTATTTGATTTCAATCAAATGCGTTCTCTCTTTATGTTCTGTGCAGTCCGAGCTTCCCTGGGCGTGTGTGTGGTCGGTGCTCTGTGGAACATGCAGAGGGAGGTGAGGAGGCAGTTTGGCTCCACAGTTGCGGGGCTCTTCTGTCTGACGTGTGCTTCTCAGTTTCACCTAATGTTCTACAGCACCAGGACTCTGCCTAATGTATTTGCACTGCCAATAGGTAAGATGCATGGTTATACATCTTCATAATCATATTTTTTTTTGGATTGATTTCCCTAAATAAGTGAGTGAATCGACATGATGACAGTGCATTTCTTCTGTCCTCAGTTCTGGTAGCGTTCACATCTTGGATGGCTCAGAAATACAGCCGGTTCATCAGCCTCTCAGCTTTGGTCATCATCGTGTTCCGGTCAGAGCTCTGCATCTTCCTGGGTCTCATGTTACTGATATCACTGTTGAGCAGGAAGCTGGGTCTGCTGCAGCTGCTGTACTACGCTGTTCCTGCTGGGGTCCTGTCACTGGGTGAGAACAGCAGAGAGCGCTGCAGGGAGGACATATCTTTGTAGGGAAAACAAACAAAAAAAGTTAGCCAATGAGATTTTTGTATTGGATTTTTGATTATTATTGCAGAAAATAAGCTCTGTGGCAAACAAATGTATAATATTTACACATTGTTCAGCAAAATAATCTCCATGAAAGAAAACTTCTTTGTATGATTTTCAAAGCACAAATTCAATCACTAGAGGTCAAAACTAACATTACAATTCATGATCTGGTGTATTTCATGTCGCAAGACAGATTGTAAAACAGTTAAGTTTTAACCACAAAAATGTCTTCATTTCCATGTTTTGAGACCAAGTCCTGCAGCAATCCAGGCCTAAAATAAATAATTATTTGTTTCTTTTGTTTTTTTCAGCTCTGACGGTGGCTATTGACTCTTTCTTTTGGAGGAAGTTGTTGTGGCCTGAAGGTCAGGTTTTGTGGTACAACGCTATTCTCAACAAGAGTTCCGACTGGGGAATATCCTTTGATGAACTCGAGTACACTCCCACTTATGTGTGTTCATGATCTTTTTCTTAATTCACTGCCACTGAAAAGAGTAACGTCCTTGACTCCTCTCCCCAGTAAACCTCTCCCTTTCTGTGGTACTTTTACTCCGCTGTGCCCCGCGCTCTGGGCTGCACGCTGCTCTTCGTCCCCCTCGGCCTCCTCGACAGGCGGATGAGGTTCCTGCTGCTCCCCACCGTCGGCTTCATCCTCCTCTACTCGCTGCTGCCCCACAAGGAGCTGCGCTTCATCATATACACTTTCCCCGTGCTCAGCCTGGTGGCTGCCCGAGGCTGCTCCTTCATGTAAATCCAAAAATATTACATTCTTCCATAAAGCAGGGCAGGAAACAAATCAACCAATAGCGGTGTCTGATGGATTCCAACACAATCCACATACTCACATATGCTTTAACCTATGTGTGATTTTTTTTTTTTGTGATATGTGGCATTTACATTTATTTTCAGGTTCGGACCTATTTATTCTTGGTATTTTTAGTATTTAAAATAAATGCACTAAACTAATGATTTGTGTACAGTATGTTAACATGAATTAGTTGTTGATTCTACTTTTTTTTGTTATTGTTTTTAATTACATTTGTGAGCTGGATGCAATGTAATTTCTTTCAGCTGTACCCTGTGAATAGTATAATAATATATGTGGTAAAATAATAACATGTATTTATATTACACCTTTACGTGAGTGCCCTAATATAAAAAACAACAACATTTAAAGCCATAAAAACATAAATAAGATCATATAAAAGCAAGTGGGTTTTGAGTGGTAGTTGACCTACATGAAGTTGATTAGTTCTCCCCGATAGATCACTCACCTCTTTGTTTCATTTTGTACTTCAGTTTGTGTAACTACCAGAAGTCCTGGATGTATAAAGTGGGCTCTGCGGTGGTCGTCGGCCAGCTATTGACCAACGCAGCGTACTCCGGCTTAAGCCTCTACGTCTCCCACCACAACTACCCAGGGGGCCGAGCGCTGCAGGAACTGCACCGGTTGATGCCAGGCGCCGCAGGTTAGAATCACTTTCAGCACATTTGAACTCTATAACACTATTAATTAGCTCCACCTTCAAGAAGGGCTACTGACTCAATGTTTTTAAAATGTCACCATCATAGAATAATTAGACCATATGTGTATGCAGTATGCACATTTTCTGGAAATTATTGGATTTCCTTCCAATTGTTGGTTTGTTATTCAAGTATCTAACCTAAAATGATTGAAATAGTGGTAGAATGTAATAAAGAACATAACCTGAAGAAATACCGGAGTATTTTTATGTTCTTGTATGTATCTTTATATAGCATATATACTCCACTCATTTTGGAAGCCAATATTCTACTTTTTACTGCACTATATTTAATTGAATGTCAGTCACTTTACAGATTTAAATTAAAAGGGAATTCAAAATATGAAATAACTATTAAATAAACATTGAATTATAATCACAGTGCTAGATATCCAGCAGCATACAATACTGTTTGACAAACTGGTCGTTTGCTTGTGCCACAAACCTGAACCCCATAGAACAGCTGTACAAGAGAGCTATCAAGGTGTTTGACAGAAAGCCAAATTCATACCACCACTGTCCCATCCTTGAAAAACACAATTTCTTGAGCTTTGACAATTTTAAGTGTTTTTTTTGATAAATGTTTACATGGACTGGCCCCCCCTCCCTTAGGGGAATTCATCCACAAAAAAGACACTGGACGCTGCACTAGGTCAGAAACCAGAGGAGACTGTGGAGTCCACCGTAGACGGACCACTTTCGGACAAAAATGTCCTCTCCATTAAAGGCAGCTATTGTGGAATAGCCTCCCTACTGAGATACGGGATTCACTGTCAATAGTTTTAAAGGTCAACTCAAAGAATGGTTGAGAAACAAACAGACGGGCAATCACCGCTAAATGCACTTTAACACACATATTAAGTGCAAGAGATGATACCCCTGTGTTAAAGTGCATTTAGCGGTGATTGCCCGTCTGTTTGTTTCTCAACCATTCTTTGAGTTGACCTTTAAAACTATTGACAGTGAATCCCGTATCTCAGTNCAGGAATATAAAAATAAATAAATACTTAGAAAAAACAAATATGTTTGGCACACGGCAACAGCAGCATTAAAGGGCACATAAGTAGCAGCAGTTTAAAAGATATTTAAATAGTTGTATTGCACGTGGTTCACGAGGCCTCCCGAGACAAAAGCAGCGCCCAACGTGGGGCTCGAACCCACGACCCTGAGATTAAGAGTCTCATGCTCTACCGACNGCTAAATGCACTTTAACACAGGGGTATCATCTCTTGCACTTAATATGTCGTTGCTGCTACATTGTACTGCCATGTGGTAAATACTTGTGTGTGCTGCTCTTGCTCTTTCTGCATATCATGTATTTATTTGTTGCTATGTTTACAAATGTCATGTTCTTATATGTTGTATGTCAGGGACTACGGATGGAAATGAGCTCAAAGCTAAAATCCGGCATATTTACACTTGAAGCATTATTTGTCTAAAGTGTTCATTAATGTGCATTGTCCCTATTCAAATAAACAATGTAAATTAGCTCTACATTGACCAGCCGTGATGAACACATTAATGCATCAATAGATATAATCCAGTAATTTAATATTATATATTGTACATTATTCTGAAATGGGCCATAACAAATACTTTTATTTTTGGTACTTTAACTTTATTTCGATACCAATAATGTTGTACTTTTATATAAGTATGTAGGACTTGTACTTTTACAATCTAGTGTCGCTACAATTTCATTAAGTAAACAAAAATGTTTCTTTCCTGTAATCATTAAAAGTGTAAACTAACATACTCAATCATTAAAACCTTTTATTGTTGTAAACAATGTCCCACTCAGATGTCTTTGTTCACATCGACACCTATGCTGCTGAAACCGGAGTCTCTCGCTTCTTAGAGCAGAACAGAAACTGGAGGTGAGAGTTTCACTTTCAACCCACGTTGGTCAAGACTAATGTACCCAATATCACTTCTGTAAAGCACTCACTTCTGTTTTTCTTTGAACAGATATGACAAACGTGAGGACCTGAGCCTCACACATCCTGACATCAAAATGTACACACACCTGCTGATGGAGGCTAATGTCACCAAAATACAGCAACTCCAGGACACTCACCAGCCTCTGACCTTCATTGAAGGTTACAGCAACATTGCCTTCAACATGTTTCACTTCCCACCTGTCACCGTGCGGTTAGAGAGAAAAACTGTGCTCATGGAGAGAAACACTGCAACCGGACGACTTGGTAACTAAATGACCAAAGAATAGGACTAAAGATGACCAAAACAAGTGTTCTCAAAGGTTATATTTAGAGACATATGTTGCACTACACTGTCTTAGATCATGTTTAAATAGTTATCTCTTGTTTTGCTGATGTATAATGCATTACATTTCTCATGAATAATTTGTATATAAATAAAGCTGAAACTGAGTGAATTCCTAAATTGCACATTAATTATGAATGATTTGTACATTTAACTACATCTTATTGCTAACCAAAGAAATACACCTGCGATTTTGCATAAGGAAAACCTTTATTTAAAAATGACCACAAAATGTACATGGTTCCAGTCTCAATGCTAAAACATTTATCAAATTAGGTTCAGAAGTAATTTCATATAAAAATGTACAGTACATTGTCTTACTTAATAATAAACCCATAATTTAATCCCCTGGACATAAACTTAAATTGTGCTTAAGAGACCCATCGTGTATTTCAAACAAACGTGTTATTCTGAAAAATACAGCAATATTATACATGATCTTGTAAAAAGAAAAAAAAACATTTCAGCAAGTAAAAAAAAGAAAAGTCTATTTCTAAATGACAGTACCATGAGCCACAAATTCACAATGAAAATTAAATAACATTAACTTAAACATCTTTCAGTCACAGCATTTATTTTTGGGCCATGTTTTCAATCAGAAAACAACTCCGCATCTATCTTTTAATACACAGTAATCAAAAAAAGCATCCTGACGTGATCAGAGTAATTTAACAAAAATATTTACAGCATTTTGACCTGAAGTAGTTTTTGGATAAGGCACAAGGAGAGAGTAGACACAGAAAACGCAAAAAACATTGATTTACAAGCACACACATCATCACCAACCCCTACAGCTAGAAAAACCCTCCCTCCCTGATACACTTTTCACTGAGACTTTTCATCACAAAAGTGTTTTAACAGTAGTACACAGAATAAAATAAAACCTCAATCTGGCCATTGCAGTGAGAATCAATCAGTGTATAAATCGATATTTTACATTAAGCCCAACAGGAAAAATAAACCCTTTCACAGCTATGCAACTTGGTCCTTGATAAAGGGTTTTCAAGTTAATGCTCGACAATAATCAGTACTGAAAATAAATCAACGGGAGGTTGACTTTGAGGAACAGCAACCCCTCCATGTTTTCCAGTAAAGGCCTGGGCTGATTCAGGGCACAGTTGACACTAGCGGTGCTGAACAGTGTCTCCGACGGGACGATGCTTGGGGGGCAGCCCACGTAACGGGCGGCTACTTTGGCAAGATCGGGCCACAGGAACTTTTTCAGGTTCCAATAGTCGAGGGGGTCACAGCTTTGATCGAGTATGTCTTCCTCGAGGTACTCCAGCACTGCCAGCTCAGAGGACCTTGGCTTCTCCTCGTGTTTGATCTTTTGTCGGATGTCCGCCATTAGAGACCAGAGGTTGTCCTTGTTTTGGTGGGGGGCGTTGGCTGAAGCAGGGGCCTCGTTACAGCCGTTTGGCAGCAGAGGCTTTACCCCGACTGAGGTAGAAGAGGATGACTCCATCTCGCCGATCAGATCTTGTTTACATTGCTCTGCTTCTTCCTCTGTGAACAACGAAGTCTTGTATCTTGGGTCCAGCATGGTGGCCCAGGTGTATCGTGGGTCGTGCAGTGTTGTGGACATTTTGCTCACCATGGCTTCCTTTAGAGACATTAGCATGTTGTCTATGCCCACCGTTTCGTCAAACAGCAGGTCTATCTTTCTGTTGAGGATGTGGATGAGTGGTATCACTTGTCCCAGAGTGGCAGTGCGGTTGCTCATCTCCCTGCAGGCGACCTCGAAAGGTTTCAGTGCATTGCAGACCGACAGCATCACCTCCCACTGATCGCAGCTGATCATTTCCCTGAAATTGCACTCGATCGACATCTCGTCTATGGCTTTCTTCTGTTCGACAAGCCGCTCCAGCATGAAGAAGGAAGTCCTCCATTTGGAAGGAACGTCCTGAATGAGTTGGTTCTCTGGCAGCTCGTGGGCCCTCTGCAGCTCGGCCAGCTTCTCCTTGGCCTTTGCTGAGCGGTGCACCCGTTCACAGATCTTCCGTGCGATACTCAGAAGGTTCTGAACCATTCTCTGGCTCTTTATGGCTTCGCTAACAATGAGGTCAATAGTGTGTCCGAAACACTGCATGGCGACATGTCCATGGTCCTCCAAGGTGTTTCTGATGGTGTTGTTATCCGTTACAGTGAACCCCTTTTTCAGCCCTGACGAGGTGACCCAAGAATCCCACAGATACTCCAGCTGCTTCGGGATGTCATGCATATCTTGATCACAGTCTATTTGGGAGACACTTAGGAGAGCCGAGCAGTGGAAGTCCTGACCCTGCGGTCTGACGCTTGACTCGTAAGTCGCCCAGTGGGCAGTAAGGGTCAGGTATTCCCGTGTCTGACTGCTGACCCAAATACTAGTTGTGAAGTGGACCACACCACCTTCGGCCTCTTTCAGGTGGGTCAGCACAACTTCCTTCACCCTTTCATACATATCTGGTATGGCAGTGCTGGTAAAGTAAGAAGAAGTTGGTAGAGAATACTGAGGCTGGAGGTACTCTAGTAGTCTGTTTAGTCCAGCGTTCTCCACCATAGCCGATGGCTGAAGATCCAGTGCGAGCATTTCTGCGATAAGTTTGGTGATTTTTTTGGCAACCGGGTGGTGTTCATCAAACCTTTCAAGGTTCTGTTCCGTTTCATAAACAGAAGTGTCCATGAGCTCTTGTTTGACATTAATTTCAGCAGACGGCACTTCACCTGAGATAGCATTTTTACTTTCAAGAATATGTCCATGAAACCTTTGCATGTGCCTGAAGAGGCAGCTTGTGCCGAGGTTAGTAGTCTTTTTGCCTCTGCTAATTGTGCGGCCACAGTGCAAACAAATCACCTTTGTGGGGTCAGTAGGTGAAATGGAGAAATGGTTCCACAGTTTTGACGTCTTTTTACTGAAACCGGGCAGTGTTTGTGGCTTCTTCTCGCAGGCGGGGCTCGCAGTTTCTTTGGTTGAAACTGCGTCTGTCGTGGTGAGATTAGTGTAGGGGTGAGGAGAGGAATCCTTCTCATCTGTGCTTTTTTGGTTTTTGAGAACGTCTGGGTGGCGTCTCATTAGATGCCTCATCAGACAACTTGTACCAAAGTCGCCCCGTTTCCCCCGGCTGATGACGCATGGACAGTAACGGCACAGTGCTTTCAACTGGTCAATTGGTGACACTATAAAATGGTGCCACACTTCTGATTTCACCCGTTTCATGATCTTTTTGTTTTGCTGGAAAACGGAATGATCCTGAGTGACACTCGGGCCCTCAGAGAGGTCGCATGGTGAGGAGGTTAGGGGTGGGTCCTCCTCCTGAGTTTTGAAGAAGAGATTGACAGACGACTCCTGCCCTGAAAGATTCATCACCTCATCAGATTCCTCTTTTATGTCCATGCTTTCATCCATGCTTTGGGGTAATTCATCTGATATGGTTTCTGGCGAGGATGGAAGAAGGGGTGATTCTTTTTTTATGTCTAGAGGATCCTGTAGTTGTGTGCGGGACAGTAGTGAGGGTGGGTTTGTATAGGGTGGGGGAATGTGATTGCCCTGTCCATTTTCCTCAATGACAACCTCTTTGTGGGCCCTCCACATGTGACGGATAAGACAGCTTGTCCCGAGATCCTTCCCATTTTTCCCCCTACTGAATTCATTCATGCAATGGATGCATACAGCTTTGGAACTGTCAGCAGGCGACAGGTAGAAGTGTTTCCATACAGCTGATCTCCGGCGGGAACTTGAGCTTTTTGGGGTCCCGGGGAGGCGATCAGGCCCACTGTCGGACATGTTTTCAAGGTTGTTTTCATTGGAATGTGAGGATGAGAGCGAGCTAAAAATGGTATCAGTGTTGGCAAGCGGTTCTAGTTTTGGTTCGACTTTGGGTAACACTTCTTTGGATGACAGGTCTGAGTTATCAGCTGAGGAGGTGGACGGTGAAGTGTTCTTTGAGGCAGAAGAATTAGTCAAGTCTCCGTTTTTTGGTGAGTTTGGGGATGGAGGTATCAAAGATGAGGAGAGGGAGCTGGTGAGATTATTTGAGGATGCGTCTGCTCCGTCTTGTAAAAGCACAGTGGGGTGAGCCCTTCGCACGTGCCTCATTAAACAACTCGTGCTGAGGTCTTTCTCGTTCTTGCCCCGACTGAACTCTTTCATGCAGTATAAACAGATTGCTTTGGTACTGTCTCGTGGTGATATGCAAAAATGATTCCATGCAGGGGATTTCTTCCTCGGGTTGTTATTACTCCTCATAGATGACAGAAGGCTCTGAGTGACAGCGTCCATGGCAACATCATAAAGGGTGCTTGTGTATCCATTTAGTAAATTACTGTAATCATCACCATCTCTAGTTACAAAAGGGCCAACAGAGCTACCGAATCCTAGCCTTTCGTCATCTTGGGTTTCATCCTCCATTCCATTTGTGTCCACAATCTCCTCTTTGATATGTTGACTTGCTTCATCCCCATTTTCCTTCTCCGTATTCTCCTCAGATTCAGTGTTTAGGCATTTGTTTGAAAGAGTGGGAGAAGCTGGATCAGTCTCACTTGCTTTGTCTGACTCCAACAGTTTGTCATCCTGAGGAGATAAAGGGGGAGATTGTGGAGGGTCTTTATCCAGTGTTAAAGAGCTTGCAGGTGACTTTGCATCAGCAGCCTCATGAGGCTTGATGCTGTAGGACTTGAACACGTAGCCATCCTGGCCTTCGATTTTCAGGCAGGTCCCTTTGGCCTCTCTCTTTTTACTTTCCGTGGTGCCATTGGGTTCACTGACCACATCCTCACTCATGGGAGACACCTCTTCCTCCCCATCCATGGCAGCAGCCCAAGGGTTTTGGTAGAACAGTCAGGTCTGCTTTGTCAAATGTAGTCACTTTTTGCAGGTGTAGTCATCGACACTGCAGCTCTCAAGCCGGTGTTGTTATGAGCGTGTTGCTGACCGGGACACAGAGTGCCTGCGTGTCCCTCTCCATTTATGACTGAAGTAGTCCCATCTCTCCACACACAACCTAGAGAGGGAAAGATAAAAAAACAATTGTCAAAGTGTAGTCTCAAGTAAGAAGACGACTCCAAACAGCTAATAAAGATATTCTGCGAAATTAAGTTAATGTCATTTTACTTTCCCCTGATTTCTTAAAACATTTTAACAGACCATTCATACAAGGCTCAGCTGCTATGGTGTGGTGCAATAACAGTAACAGCTCCTGCTCCAAAATCACGTTCCATAAAACGCAGCTTTTATTGACCTTTTGTTTTTTCCTTTGAAAGCAACGTTGTGCAAATACACATGGGAATGTTTGAATTTGCAAGTTGACAAGCACTGCCCGGACATAATGTTATGTTGTTGCTGAGAGGCAATGTAAATAAACTTGCAGGTCCCCCACCTCCATGAGCCTTTTCAGGTTTTGACTCACAGCTAACATATGCAAATCCAAAACACTTATCAAGATCAGGAACACCTCTTCAAGCTACCTGAAAAAAAACTGTTGTACAATTCGGGAAGCCTTCTAAATTATAATAACTGGTGCTTACTCTCCCCACACATGTGATAATCTCTCTTCATCCTTTTTTAACTGTATGCAAACATTATACAATGTAGTGGATTAATAATGCTAACCAGCACAGGAATATTAGCAATATGTATACTGTAGAATTAGAGTGTTCAGTTTTTATCCAACAACAGTAACTCATTTCTTATCACATTTGATTATGTATAAATGTCAATGGTATAGCTAAACCATGCATACATCTTCAACTTTAAACCACTCTAGCAGCTGATAGCATATATTTAGGAATGAATGGGCAAAAACAGTTATGCAGTATATCTGGTTGTTAAACAGAACTGTGTGACTCACAATTGTAGAGTCTTATTCGGAGATAACATTAGTATCTTAAGACAATAAATGCATTATAAGCACCACAATGTTTTAAAAATAATCCTGAGAATGACAAATGTCAATACATATTTAAATATACCAAAAATAATGTTAAATTGCTCGTATATCAGTGTATTAGCTAAAAAAGTATAGAATACCCATAGCCTTAACAAAGGTTAGAATACTCTTTTGTTAAAACTGTATTAGAAAATATGTTTTTAAATAAATATTCTACACTCACTTTTAATAATTGGGGGCGACACAATTATATAAAACACCTCAATAAAAGGCAATCCAGTTAAAAAAAAACAAGTCTACAATGTATTCCTCCTGAAAGTGTTGTTAAATTGCACAAGACTGCATTAGTTTTGGTTAAGCGTACATAATGAACTGGTATCTGATGTGTACTTTGTTACACATCTCTCTGTACCTTGATCATGTGCACCACAGGTCAAATGTGGTTATGAACAACCAGTGCCTCACTTTGCACTGCATGCACATTTGACATAAGAGTATTTTCCTTATGTCAGTAAGTATTAACGTTAGCCAAAGTAAATAAGTCTTACACAAATGCAGTCAACCCGTTACTAATAAACGATTACAAAGAATCCCAAATCATGAATGGGAACAGCATAAACAATTGTATCCTGGATTAAATAGGGTTTGACTTAAAAGGGCATTAAACATTTTTTTTAGCCACTTCCTAGTGACAGGCAGTTTTCCGGGTTTGGCTAGAGTGCTCGTCTAGTCAGGAAGATACGAGAGGACAGCAGAAAATAGCCAACGCTGACTAGCTTCCATCTTTACGCTACACATTAAGTTGTAAATGGTTATTTAGCCCACTGCCGGCTTTACGTGAACTCTCATTGAACCACAGCTAACATAAATCCTGAAACATGTGCGAACCTCATGCTAATAAACCTTTATAACCATATAACAAAACACAGTTAGCTTAAGCTACATCATCAGTAAACACCACGGTGGCTATCTTGGTGCTAACCCACTTAGCTAAAGGCTAATAAACACACAAAAACAACACACGGGCTCAGCACTACTGTCACATGGGTTTGTAAGACAAAACAAAAAAAGACAAAACAACTTCTATAAGTACCTTATTAACGTTGTAATGACACATTTAGTACAGTTCGGACCACACCACGTCTGCTAACTGGTTAGCTGCCAGCTAGGCCACACACAGGACACACTAGCTAACCTGGCGAGGCAGAACCCAGCAACACACGAACCGCACGGGATCCGAATCAGGCCAGCTCTCCCCACGACGTCCCGCCCGCTTTAAACCCCCCTCACACATGTACAATGCTCTCAGGATACTCACTGTGAAGTGTGATCGGTGTGATCTCCAGTTTTCGGCTCCTAAACAGTTAAATATGACACATTTGATTGATCCGGAGGGGGGGTTCACTTTGTTGCTTTTGTCTCCTGGTTTGCTAGCAGTTCACGTTCGGCCGGAGCAGCTCCACACAGCGTCGGACGGAAGGAACATGTTTGGTGATGTCACTGGGTGAAGGGGGGGG